CCGGGCGGTGGAGCTGCTGCTGGTGCTGAGGACCCGAGCGGTGGAGCTGCTGCTGGTGCTGAGGACCCGGACGGTGGAGCTGCTACTGGTGCTGAGGACCCTGGCGCTGGTGTCTCTGCTGGTTCTGGAGACGCTGCGCGGCCGCGGCCGTACTTAGTACCGCAGGTTCTTGGTCAGGCTCCTCCTCCTTGTCCTCCTCCCTCCTTAGAGTGTCCTCCGCCTGTCCAGTCGCAGTCACAGTTACCGCCTACCTCGCCTCTCCCTGGTCCCTCTCCTTACACTGGTCCCACAGGAGGTCTTACGGAGCGTCGTGAGCCTGAGTCTCGTCCTGCGTCGCCTGTTCGTGCTGCTCGCACTCGTCGTCGTGTCCCACGTCCTCCTCCTGTCCCTGGCACTCACTACATGACGCTGCGTCCCTCCACTGCTCCTCAGCGTGTCCCTCTGCCGTCTCCTCCTGCGTCCTCCCTACCTACTCTTCCTGACCCGGAGTCTGACTCCCGTCGTGCTGCCAGTCCCACTGTCACGCGTCTCCTCGCCACTGTTGTCACTGACCCTACCTTTGAGTCCTCTGCTGCGTCTGCTCTGGTCGCTGAGTTGATTGACTTTGCTGCTCGGTGTCGCCTAGACTACGCTGCTAGCCTTGTTGCTGAGTCTGCGTCTGCGTCTGTCTGTCCTCCGTCCGTCAGGGGTGAGTGTGCTCTTGGCACGGACGTCCTTGAGGACAGACAGGAGGAGTTCCAGTGCTTTGCTGCTGCTTTGCCCCACCTCGTGTCCATGCTAGTTGCCCCTGAGGGAGACCCGGATGCACCAGACATCCCGACCCCGCGCTCTTACGCTGAGGCGATGGCGGGTCCCTACTCCTCTCAGTGGCAGACAGCCATGGACGCAGAGATGGCTTCCTGGAAGTCCACAGGCACCTACGTCGACGACGTTCCCCCACCTGGGGCGAACATCGTCAGTGGCATGTGGATTTTCAGGGTGAAGCGGCCGCCGGGATCTCCTCCAGTCTTCAAGGCGCGCTACGTTGCTCGAGGCTTCAGTCAGCGAGAGGGAGTAGACTTCTTTCAGACCTTCTCCCCCACCCCGAAGATGACTACTCTTCGGGTGTTGCTGCACATAGCCGCTCAGCACGACTACGAGCTTCACTCACTTGACTTCAGCACTGCTTTCTTACAGGGCAGCCTGCACGAGGAGATCTGGCTGCGCCGCCCTCCTGGCTTCACTGGGTCGTTTCCTCCTGGTACCCAGTGGAGGCTCCAGCGGCCAGTCTACGGTCTCCGCCAGGCGCCACGTGAGTGGCACGACACACTGAGGACGACACTTGCGGCTCTTGGGTTCGCTCCCTCTACTGCTGACCCGTCGCTGTTTCTACGCACCGACACCTCGCTGCCGCCGTTCTACATCCTCGTGTACGTTGACGACTTGGTCTTTGCCACTGCTGACACTGAGGCTCTCGCCCACGTGAAGTCGGAGCTGCAGAAGAGACACACCTGCACAGACCTGGGTGAACTGACAAGCTATCTTGGCTTGCGGATCACCCGGGACAGAGCACGGCGCACCATCACCTTGACTCAGTCACACATGGTGCAGCAGGTCCTTCAGCGCTTCCGCTTCACGTACTCCTCGCCTCAGTCCACTCCTCTGCCTACCGGTCACTCGCTCTCAGCTCTGCCTTCGGATGAGTCCGTAGAGCCGAGTGGCCCGTATCCAGAGCTTGTGGGCTGCCTCATATACCTGATGACCTGCACTCGACCTGACCTTGCATACCCTCTTAGCATCCTTGCACGCTATGTCGCTCCTGGCCGTCACAGGAAGGAGCACATGGATGCCGCTAAGAGGGTGTTGCGCTACTTGTGCAGTACGTCGGGCATGGGGCTAGTGCTTGGAGGGCGAGACCGAGTTGTACTTACTGGACACTCAGACGCTTCTTGGGCGGACGACCAGGCTACTCAGCGGTCGTCTCAGGGTTACACCTTCAGCCTTGGCTCTGGCTCAGTTTCTTGGCGTTCTACACGCTCTTCTTCTGTTCTCAGCTCCAGTTGTGAGGCTGAGATCTACGCCACAGCCATGGCTGCCCAGGAGCTACGCTGGCTGACCTACCTGCTAACCGACTTGGGAGAGCGGCCTCGTTCTCCTCCAGTGCTGTACGTCGACAACAAGGCTGCTATTGCCTTGTGTGAGAAGCACAGACTGGAGCACAGAACGAAGCACATCGCCCTGCGGTACTTCCTTGCTCGAGAGCTGCAGCAGCGTGGTCAGCTTCGTCTGCGTTACGTGGCCACTGAGGCCAACACTGCTGATGTATTCACCAAGGCGCTTCAGCCTTGTGACCATCAGCGCTTTTGTACTCTTCTAGGCCTTGTGCCTACTGGACCTCACTTGCTTACTTCTTGACTTTGTTTGTACTGTGATCTCTATATATATACCTGCATGTTTACACCTGCTAGGTTGTGATCACTGTATCTCTTGCTATATTATCAACCTGCATGTGAACTGGTCTTGTGACCACTTGCTTGTGCTCGGAATTTGTGTGGTCTCCGTGAGATCCACCCTGAGCTTGTGTTGCTTTGCTTTGACTGGGTTTGTGACCCCTTGCTCTCCCCCACTTCGCCTATGGGGGTGTGTCAAACATTATATATGTTGTATTTGTGTAGGCTATAGTGGGTTAGCCTATAGGGGGGTCACAACTCTAGGGTTTCCTATTTGTACTCCCATTCCAATCTAGTCCAACTCTCTTGTTCATTCTAACACGAAGTCGCCTTCGCCATCGCGACCTCGACGACGTTCGCGTGCCTCCGCAGAACTCGTCGAGCGGGTTATTTGGTCGATCCGGACACCACCATGTGCTCCGGTCGACCACCTTAAGCTTTGGTCGACCACCAGGTCCCTCTCGTCAACCACAAGGTGCCTCCGGTCGACCACTAGGTGTCCCTGGTTGACCACAGCTCCCGTCGAGCTACTCCGTGGTCGGCGGACCCTTTCCGTCGACCAGAACTGACAGTTGTTGTCGCCGAGCCCCTCTCGTCGACCGCTGCCCACTTGTCCGGTCGGCGGTCTGCTTCGCCGGCCTCCCGGTCGAACTGTAGGTCGACCGGCAGCTCCGTCGACCTCTTCGTCGAGCAGTAGGTCGACCGGCAGCTCCGTCGACCTCCCGGCCGAACTGTCCCCCCTAGTCGATGGCCCACCCAGGTTTAGGGTTTAGGGTTTAGGGTCTAACTCGGCCCAGACCATTCAGTTGCAGCTGTCGAACTCTTTAGTCGACAGCAACACCACAGCGGTCCCATGCTGCTCGACGAAGCATGTCGAGCAGCTCTCCCACTGTGAATGGTTGGCTGCAACTCCCGTACATCCGACCAAGTCGTCGGCGTTGCCCAAGCGAGGGCGGGGCCAATACTCCACTCCCGTTAACATTCACGTCTCTGCCAACGAAATCAACTTCGCATGCCCCATACCTATCCGACAACCAATCGAGGTCGAACAAATTTTGGGAATCTACATTTAACGCCAGGATCTCAAGTACCAGAAAATGTGGTCAGCTGCAAAACAGTTTACTGCTAGTTACCATGTTATTTGCACCGAAGTAACATGCTGGGTTGTGATGCATTTGGATTGGTCACCTCACAAAACCAGCCCAGGAAGCCTATTCTGCGTCTTCGGGCGATCTTAATTATGGAAAGAATCGACAGCCCAGCACTACCAAACGCAAAACATCAGCAAAACAACTCGAGACTGAATGTCAAAGTTATTAGAGCAAAGGAGAACATCCTCTCGGTAGAAAGGACATGCTAGCGGCAATTACGTCAAGCTCATTCACCTCCTGCAGCACATGCTCTTGCATCACTCGCATTCATTTGACGGAACTCTACATCGACATAAGTACGCATTGGAGGAGTAATATTGCGTAGGATAGGATAGTAGGATAGTAATTTTGGACAATTCGCAGATGTGGCCGCGTGCTCGTCAACTTTCACAACGCGCCATCCAAAAAACAGAACATCTGCATCTGTCAAATGTAACACACTTGTAGTTTTTAAGATCCCGGCTTTAAGCTGACGCGCCTCGAACGACCACTTGGGAAAAGATTCTAGAAAAAAAAATACGAAAATCGGCGGCTTTCTTTATCAAACTCCACACCAGTGCCACCTGCCATTCAGCCCTATCCTTAGAATGGCTCGTACCTCTCTTTGGTTTCAGAGGACGTTTCCAACCCCCCACGGAAGACGTGACCAACCAACTAGACCTCATAGTTAATATATTTGAGCCATATTTAGATTATGCAATGGATTTATACCACACCCATAGAAGGGTAGAAAATGTGCTCAAATGGACAATGTATATTGTTTCAGATTATATGTTTTCAAATTCAAGAAATTGTACTGACACTGTTATTACAAGATTTATTAGCCAACACAGCAGAGTCGATCGACACAGAGCCAATGGGATTCCAGGGCACAGTTCGTGGCCTCCCACAAGGTTCCCGAAGCTGGGATGTGCCACCGAACCTGCAAACCAAGCTGCTCAACCATTGAGGAAATTTCCGAAGCTGGCAGCCCATCTGCCCTAGCAAATTCGAGCATTCCGAAGCTGCGTACAGTGATTTCGGCTCGACGCGATGCGTCGAAAGCATCTTTCCACGCGCAAATCAGAAAGGTACTTCAAACGTACCCTACGAAACCCTACTTTTCGGGACCCCCCATTTTTGGGATGAAAATCTGCAGCGGACGTGGGCCTTGTGGGGGTCAACCAAAAAGACACCAAGCCAACGGCTTCGATCATGATGCAGATCCCGTCCGCTGGCAAGTTTCCTGACAGCGCTGCACTCCGGGACGCGTTGCTTCGAATCGCGTATTTCGTCTGATCGCGCGTCGCGTGGGATATCGCCTTCAGCCAGACGGCGCCGATCCGTCACAAGCTCCGCAGCCGCGCTGCGGTCTCTGATCGCGACTCCTCGCCTCGACTCCGTCGCATACAAGCTCGTCTATAGACGCGCCGCGCGCGCCATGGGAGCTGCGAAGGGAGTCCGGCATTGGTGCGCCGTCCCCTTCGCCTCGCACGCGCTGTTCCGCGGGGCACTGCGCGGACGCAACGTCCGCGCGCTGCTTATCGGGCTTGCGCTGGTGGGGGTGGTGGCGATCGTGCCGTGGCGCGCGCTACTACGACCGCCCACTGTCATCTCCGGCTTGTCCGCGTCCTCGACTTCCCGGTGGGTGCGGGGAAGCGAGTACCGCACGGTGCGCGCACACATGGGGTTGTTCCGTGCGCGGTCGGCGTGTTTTGGGCGCGCCGGATGCGGGTGGGATCGTCCCGTGATTAGCCAATGCACTGCAGCGAATGGGCGTGCTGGGGCGTCATTCTCGTTGCACTTGGTGAATCAACCACAGCACACTCACGTTGTTTCTCATTTCGCATCGACTTCCCCTTACCCCCCTCTCCCCCTCTCCCCCACCACCCACACCCTCCGTCCCCTCCTCTGTCTTCCACCTTCCCCCTCTCCTCCCCACCACCAACCATCAGCCCTGCTTTTCACCTCACCCCTCTTGTTCGCCCTTTTCCTCTCCCCTTTCCCTCGTCTCTCCCATTCCCATAATCTTGCCGTTTCCCCCGTCCTTTATCTTCCCCCTCCACTGCCTCCCCCACCCCGTTTCCCGCCCCCCATGGCCGCAGCCCCACGGCGGCGGATCTGTACGAGGCATGGGCGCACCTCTTCGCGCTGCACTCGCCCCTCCCCCCGTCCGCCATCACCATGCGCGCATCTCTCCCCCCCCCGCCCCACCTGGAGGACTGCGCCACGCGCACTGCCTTCCGCCTAGCCACCGAGCGCACAGGAGGGGGAGGGACGGGCGCGGAAGGGGGAAAGGGGGAGGAGGGGGGTGGGGAGGGCGAATCGCCGGAGTGGGCGCGGGCGACAGCGGCGTGTGGCAATGTGCCGCAGCCCCCATGGGTGAGCCACAGGCGTTCTCTCACAGTGTTGTGCTTGCTGTGCTGTGCTGTGAGGCACACTGCGCGTCCTGGGGCACTCCGGCTGGGACGGACACACTGGGCAGACGAGGAAGGCATTTGTGAAGCGATCAAGTCGAGTAGGGGGGGTCGTGCAGCTCGTTTCTGCCGCGTGTCATCAAACCAGCTGCTGCGGGATCAGCCACTCGTCCCTGCTCTCTGGCCATGCTTCGAGTCCCGCCGTGTTGCTGCAACTGCAGCATCAATCCTCCGCATTCTTCCCCCAATTGCCTCTCTTTTCTTCTGTATGTTACTCCCTTCGCCCCGAACTTCCGTAATGCCCCTTTTCCACCCCTGTGATGCCTCCACTCCACTCCCACACTCTCTCTCTCTCTCTCTCTCTCTCTCTCTCTCTCTCTCTCTCTCTCTCTCTCTCTCTCTCTCTCTCTCTCTCTCTCTCTCTCTCTCTCTCTCTCTCTCTCTCTCTCTCTCTCTCTCTCTCTCTTACGGCAGGTACGGGGCCCGGACGCGGCGAATCTGGGGAGCACGCGGGAGGTGCAGAGGGACCTGTGGGCGCACCAGTTCCCCGCCGGGCCGTGTCACGGCCGCCGCCTGCTGCTCGTGCACTGGCCGCACCCGCACCCCCCACCCAATGATACTCACAGCAGTGGTGATAGCAGCGATGGTGGGAGGAGTGGGTTTGGTGCGTGGGAGGTGGTGGAGATGCTGGCGGGCATGGCAGGCGCGCTGAGTGTGGCGGTGAGCAGCCAGCGCGTGCTGGTGCCCATGCCCGGCTCCTTCCTCCCCGCCAACCACTCCCACTGCCATGGTCAGTCGCCCCACACCCCACCGCGCCACGCCAAGCCATGCCGCCCACAGGTGGACAAGGGGCTCCCAGGCCATGCCACACCATGCCACACCATGCCACACCATGCCACACCATGCCACACCATGCCACACCATGCCACACCATGCCACACCATGCCACACCATGCCACACCATGCCACACCATGCCACACCATGCCACACCATGCCGCACCATGCCACACCATGTCCCCACCATGCCGCACCATGCCACACCATGTCCCCACCAGGTGGGGATGGTGCTCCCACCCGTACATGTAGACTTGAGATTTGAGCAGTAGGGCGGTTCTTTCTCCGCATTACATGATCGGACTGCTTGCTCATTCCCGACCCCCCACCATGCACACATCTGACCGATCACGTGCCTCAACCTCCCCCCCACCCCCCTCCTTCCCCTCCATCTCCTGCATGAACCCGTTCCCCTCAAGCCCTCCCCCCAACGCCCTCTCCCAACGCCCTCCCCCCAACGCCCTCTCCCAACGCCCTCCCCCCAACGCCCTCTCCCAACGCCCTCCCTCCGCGCCCGCCCCTTCATGCCCTCCCCCCCTCACACGCGCCCCGGCATGCCGTGCTCCCCTTCCACAGCGGTGAACGAGTCGGGGTCGCTGCACTGCTACTTCTTCCGCTCCGTGTCGCCTGCATGCGAGGCAGCAGCCATGCACCAGTACCGCGCTGCCGGCTCGCCCCCCTGCCTCCCGCTCTCCCACCTCGCCAATGCCGTTGCCTCCAACGACTCTCTCGTCTGTGCCCTCGCCACCCTCCATCCCTCCTCTCGCTCACACTCCGCTGCTGCCAGGTACGCTACGCCCATACACGCACCCGTGGGTTGCACACTCTCCATGGCCCTGTGCATGGCATTTGCCTTCATGCATGCTACCATCTTGTGTGCTGTGTGCTGTGTGGACGCTAGTGTGCTACTCGCCTCTCCCACCATTGCTGAGCGGCAATCCTCTTGTTGGTTCCTCACTGCCCGTTGAGGCTCCTCATAAGTCGTCATGCTGCCGTGCCTCCCAGCAGGGCATGGGGCGATGCATACAAGCAGCGGCCTTACCTGGTGGAGGAGCGGGGCGTCATGGTCAACGCCTCAGAAGACCACATGCAGGTGACCCATGCCATGCCATGCTGTGCAATGCCGTGTCATGCCATACCATACCGTTCCAGCCATGCCATGCCACGCCATGCTGTGCCATGCCTTGCCATGCCTTGCCATGCAGTGCCATGCCTTGCCATGCCATGCCATGCCATGCCATGCCTTGCCATGCCATGCCATGCCATGCCATGCCATGCCATGCCATGCCATGCCATGCCATGCCATGCCATGCAATGCCATGCAATGCCATGCAATGCCATGCCATGCCATGCCATGCCATGCAATGCCATGCCATGCCATGCCATGCCATGCAATGCCATGCAATGCCATGCCATGCAGCATTCGTTCACACATGACATGGGAATCCGTGCAGGTTGGCTCAACTGCAGAGATGCCTGTGTGGCACATTGTGTCTTCGTGCTGCCCCACTCCATGACCTCTCACAGCAGCTGTCAGCTTGCCATGGCTCCTTCCCATATGGCAGAGCAATACATTGCTCTTACCTTCCTGCTGCATATACCTTCTATACTTCTTGCCTTCTTCTCTCTCCATTCTCAACCCCTACTCTCCCCTTCACCCCCTTCCCTCTTCCCCCTTCCCCTCCCCTCCCCACCCCCCCCCCCCCTGTCCGTCCCCCAGGCCTACTGGTGGCAGGCACAGGCGCTACGCTTCCTGCTGCGGTGGCCCTCCTTGCACCTATGCCACGCCACCAACCGCATGCGCCACTCGGCGTACGGGCTGCGAACCGCCGTGCTGTCGGCAGCGCAGGTGGCGGAGCAGCGGGCCATCCTGGCCGCACTGTGGTCGCCTTACTCCGACGCGCACCAGCACCTGGGCATCAACACGCGCTCCGAGGCCTCCCTGCTGGCTGCTATTGACTTCTCCAAACCGCACAACTTGGAAACGGACGTGTGGCCGGCGCTGGGGTTCGTGGGGTGTGCTGATAGTGTACGCGTGGAGCTAGGCGCGGGTGGTGTGAGAGGAGAGAGTGAGGGGGGTGAGGAGACAGCGGCGAGGGAAGCACGTGGAGGTGGAGCGGTGGATGCGAGAGGCGATGCAGGAGGCGAGTCTGGTGGGGAGGGGGAGGAGGATGCCCGCGAGGAGAAGCCGCAGGCACGGGTGACGTACGAGAGGGTGGGCAGGGAGGTGGGCATGCCGCGGCCGGTTGTGAGCGTGCATGTGGAGCAGCATGCAGGCGCCGGGGCGCAGGCGCTGCTGCCGCTGGCGTACCGCCTGCGCCGCCTGGACCCCGCCCTGCAATTCGCGTGGCTCTCTGCAGAAGAGCCGGTAAGTGACCACCTGGCTGTGCAATGACCACCTGGCTCTGCAATGACCACCTGGCTCTGCAATGACCACTTGGTAAGTGCGGCGCTGCACCCACATGCATTCGGATGAAGGGGAATGGGCGACGAGTGAAGGTTGGCGGAGGTGCATGTGTATAGGCAAGAGGGCGCATGTGGGCGTAGGCATGGTGGGTGGGAGAGTGGAAGCACCCGTGCCGAGCATGCGTGCATGTATGCATGCGTCTGTGTGTATGTGTGTGTGCGTCCCTGCTCAAGCACTCAGGCATGTGTGAACATGATGATAGCTTCCCGTCCCCATACCAATCCTTGTTTGTTTCCTTGTCGCACCATCTACCATTCCCAGTGCCCTGCCATCATTCATCTTCTTCCGCACCCTTTGTTCACCAGGCTTGCCAGACAGTCCTTGTTGCACCTCCTTTTCTGTTCCTTGTATCTGTGTAAAGTGACTCAACGCCCGCACTGTGCATCACACGCTATCCAACCGGCACACCTTGCAGGGAACTCTGTCGCGTGTGCAGCACTTGAGCACTTCCGCCCAGCATCTGCGATTACCCTGGACCTTTCTCCACCCCACGGACACAGCCCTTGAAGAGCATGATGCCACCGCAGCTATCTTATCCTCTCTGCTCATTGCATCGGAGTGTGATTACCTTGCCGGCGCACTCAATTCTACGTGGAACCGTGTTGTGCATGCACTCAGATCAACCAATGGCCGCTTGTACTCTGGAGTTGTCTCCTGAATACGGGTACTGCTGTACCGAGCTGTTTCTGGCTGTTTCTGCGGTACCGTATTCCTGTGTATATTACACCCCGTTGCACTTCAAGGGTCATGCAAGAATTGGCGTTTTGTATAGTAATATGATTCCATGCATAGTACACCCTATGATGGACACATCCAGTGGGTGTCATATGCAGAATCAAAAGGTGAAAAGTAAACTAAAAAATCAACCACTGTATCGGATTTTCTGGATGCATAATCTTTGTGCTGGTCATACGGTGCGGTAAAATTGGCACCACATTACCCCGTTCTCAAGGTTTGCAAGGGTCCCGAACACGGTATTCTTCCCATGCCAGGTAACCTAAATCAAGGGTGGTGTGGTGTGGTGTGGTGGTGACATGAATATAAGGCGCACTTTTGAGGTAGTGCTTCGGTTGGGAACCTCAATGACAATGAAACAGCTCCAAAAACGGTACCGGTAAAGTAATCCATTCCAGGGGCTTTCACGTGCATGTAAAATACGGTAGTCTGAGCTCGCCAAAAATATCACCAATAAAGAGCCGCCAGCCATCACCACTCCTCCACGGCCACAAAGCCAGCAAAGAGGCGGCCATTGGTGCTCCTGAGCGCATCAATGAGGCGGCTCCAGTGGGAGTTGAGCGTGCCCACAAAGTAGTCACTCTCCGCTGCCACCAGCAGGTTCGCCAGGCCCGCCCCCACGCTCACCTGCAGCCCCACCTGCTTCTCGTACTCTGTCACCGGCTGTGGGGCGCTCTGCCGCGGGTGGTCGGAGTGCAGGAAGTTCCAGTCGGAGAATTGCTTCGACTGCTCTATGTCCACCTGCGGGGCGCATGGGCACGGCATGGGCACAGAATGGGCATGGCATGGGTACGGCATGGGCACGGAATGGGCACGGAATGGGCATGGCATGGGTACGGCACGGGTACGGCACGGGTACGGCATGGGTACGGTTTGTGGATAGGGTGGGTGCAGGGTGAAGAGTGGTGGAGAGTCTAGGTGGCAAGAAGGTGCACAGGCGCTGGAGGATGTAATGCAGTGTGAGGAGTGACGGAGCGGTAGAGTGAGGTGGGGTGAGATCATGAATGGTTGCAAGTAGAAAATCCCATCCCCTCTCATCCCTTCACTTCCCATCCCATCCCTTTCCATCCCATCCCATCCCTTCCCTCCCCTCCCCATCCTGCACCGTTTTGTCTCGCCAGCATACCAAACGAGTGCTCACCACCCACTGCCCCCTGTGTGCCACGCCCATCAGCGCACCTGCAGTCTGGAGCTGAGCCACACGTGGGTGAGCGAGGGCACGTGCTTGCGCATGCCATACAGCGAGAACATGAACCCTGCCAGCGACCGCACACTCGCCTTACTCCCCGCGTCCTCCACCTGCCTTACGTGCAGCCCCACCACCGGCCGCATCATGAACACCTCCTTTCCCACCGCCTCATACACCCTGTCCACGCGCGCTGGCCCCGGGCCCTTGTACTGGTAGCAGCCTTCAAAGCCCTCGCCCGGCCACACGTCGGCCTCGAGGCTCTGCGAGTGCGAGAAGGTGAAGGACTGCAGGAACTTGGCCTCGTCGCTGCCGTTCATGCGCATGCCCGCGTACGCGGGATGCACGCTGTTGCTCGCTAGGGCGGAGATGATGGCGGCTCGTTGCGTGGTGACGGCGGCCAGTTGGGAGGCGACTGAGAGGCCGTAGGACGCGTGGCGCATGCGGTTGATGGTGTGGCAGAGGTGCAAGGAGGGCCAGCGCAGCATGAAGCGGAGAGCCTGTGCCTGCCACCAGCGCAGCTGATGGGGGTGGTGGGGAAAGAACGGGGGTGGTTAAGGGTTGAGGGTGGTGATGGTGTGAGGGGAGATGGTGAAGAAAGGAAAAGGATGGCAAAACGAGGATTTAAACAAGGTTTGGCGCGTTTCACAATCGCACATACGAGAGGCGGTGGGAGCGAGAGAGTTGAGAGCAGGGCAGTGATGCAGGGCGGAGAGGGCAGGGCGGAGAGGGCAGGGCGGAGAGGGCAGGGAGGAGAGGCAGACCTTGAGCTGGGCCTCGTTGAGCGGATGCATCTTGCCCGCCAGCTCCACCACACTCGGTCGGTTGCGATGCGGTGCGCCCCACAGACTGTGCGCGGGGGGGATTGGGTGCGGGACGGACACACAGCAGCAGGTGGCGCCCCTATACGACACCCACAAAACATGTCACTCGTGCAGACACACGCAACACCCAATCCAGGGCAGACAGCACCTCTACACCGCACAGCACCGCAGAATCAAACAACAGCACCACGCAGCGTGCTTCACAAGAATGCGAGTGTGTGGGTGCGTGCGTGCGTGTGTGCACCTGACAGCATCACAGTTGTCCTGGTGAGACGTATCATTGAGCAACACCACTGCCTGCTCTGATGCCAGCACTGCCGCCGTGCTGCCACCCTCCGCCACCACCACCACCTCCTCCTCCACTCCCGCCCCTGCCACTCCCTCCGCACCTGCCCCTGCTGCCGTAGGCGCTGCAGCCGATGCTGCTTCTGCTTCTGCTGCTGCTGCCCCTACCGCTGCACCTTGTGCAGCTGCTGCGGTGGCAGCGATAGCAGCGACAGCCCTGTCAGTGCAGGCCTGTGCGGCCATGGGCAGGAAATAGCAGTCCAACGACCCCTCCTGCCCTACAGCTGACGTCGAACAGTGGAGGGGAGGGGAAGGGAGGAGAGGGAAGGAAGGGGAGCTGGGAAGGATGGTGGGGTGCGAGTGCACACGAGAAGCACGTGTGGGTCACAGCAGCGATGCAGTGAGATGTTGGTTAGGTATCTGCAGCAGCAGCAGCAGCAGCAGCAGCAGCTGCAGGAGGAGGAGCAGCAGCAACGGGCTCTAGCATGTGCCAAAAATCACACCGCGATTAGAAAACGCAGCCAAGTCAACAATTTCCAATGCACCACAAGCACCCCCCCTCAAGCCTTCCCCTTCCTCCACATACTCTCCCACGCCCCACCCTGCCCCAACCCACCTGTACAAGCGGAGTGGTTAGCGCGGGAGAAGGAGCCAGGGAGCATGACAAGCGTGCGGTTGTGGCGCATGGCGAGGCTCAGATACGCCGTCGCCACCAGCAGCTGCGCTCCCAGGGGGTGCGTGGCCGCATCAGGCCACGGCGCCAGTAATAGCCGCCGCCCAGTGCAGTTGCTCGGGGGGAACTGGCTCGCCCAGATGTCCCTCTGCGCGATACGTGTCAGCGCCAGATTGGCCGCGTCTGTGCCTCGTACCTGAGGTGGTAGGAGGGATGGAGGCGAAGGGGGTTGGAGGGTGGGGGTTTGGGCGGATAGGGGGCGATGGGGTGGAGATCGGGGGAGAAGGGGGGAGAGGACGGATGGGTGGAGTTGTTGGAGGTAGCAAGGCAGCACCGCGTGGAATCACAGGGATGGACCGAAACGCCATGTGCCTGGTGCAAATCACGTACATGTGTGGGGTGAGGGTGTGTGTGTGTGTGTGTGTGTGTGTGAGTGTGTGTGTGGAGGAGGGGGGGTGTGGGTGGTGTGTGGGTGTGTGTGTGGGGGGGGGGTGTGGGTGTGTGTGTGTGGGTGTGTGTGTGATCTGAATTGACAGGCTCAGCTGCACCATCCAGCACCATGTCATTGCATGACCAAGAAGTTCGTATCTCCTAGAAAATAATCAGTGCAGTTATACGCTCATAGTGCTTCCCTCTTCCCCCCTTGCACCATCTCCGCTCCCTTGCCACCTGATCCCTTCTTCCTCTCCAAACCCCCAACACCCAACACTTCTTCACCCACCCACCCACCCACCCAGGGAGGTTGGGGCGCGCAGCCGCAGCAGGCGGAGGGGTTGGTCCAGTCAGGGGGCGCGGAGTCCGCCGCGCGCTGCTCCACCTGCCAGCGCCAGTGCGTGCGGTTGGCGCAGTCGTCCAGGTGGGGCGCGGGGGGCACGTGCGCGGGGAAGGAGAGGTTGGCGGGGGGCGTGGGGGAGTCGGGGGAGAGCCCGTGGACCGCCTCCCATTGCTGCGCGGAGGAGAAGGTTGAACGAGGGGGGAGAGGGGATGACGGGGGAAGGGGAGGAGATGCGGGGGAAGGGGTCAGGACATGGGGAAGCGGGAACGCGCTAGGGTGCGGAGTGCCTGCGCGATCAGGATTGGCGGGGCAAAGCGAGACAGCGCACGGCGGCGGACGCAATGGCGCCAGCGAACGCGGGGAAGGGAGCAGGGGAGCAGGGGAGGGCGGCGGAGAGCCGCGGAGACGACGGCACTGGGAGGTGCGGGGAGCAGGCAGAGAATTCGCCCGAGAATAGCGTGGGCGAGCACGAATATCGTAGCGGGAAATGGGGAGAGCCGGGATGGACCGGGGAAGGGGGATTAGGGGAGCAGTGGAGTGCGGAGCGGGGGAGTGCGGAGTGCGGGGGAGTGGAGTCTGGTGCAAGACGTACTCTGGAGAGCGAGAGGGCGTGTTCAAGGCTGGTGACGCCAGGGGTGGCGGAGGACGACGAGATTTGCGCGAGGAAGACTAACAGCGCTCCCGCGGACAAAATACACAACCGCGTCTCCATGAGAAATCACTCGGGGCTCGCCGTGATGCGACTGTGGGGAGGCGGAGCCTGAACGGACATGCGGAGAAGGTCGCTTGCTGCGCCTCTAATGATTGTACCGCGGTAGCGGGGCTGTCTGCTATAACTGTAGTGTACGACGAGCCAAGCTGACAGGTGAGCTATTTGTTGATGGTGAGTGGATGGATGCGCTGGCGATTTGATCAGCGTTCGGCGCTTTCAGGGCGTGTTGTAGAAACTAAGGGCGTGTAACATTTTTCATTTTGTCAAAATGTCCGTACAAAGCATCCAAACCGTCCGTTTGAGGCCCGAACGGACGTTTGTCCGGACAAAACCTCGCCCTACCACATAAGTGTCACATTTTCGGGTTTTAAATTTTGCGACTAGTAACTCTAGTCGCACATTGTTCGTGTATTTCGTGAAAAAAAAAAAACAAGAGGCGACGAAATCGTCTTCGGGTTGCGAAGCAACATTACACTGTAATTTTTAGATGCACTTGACCTATAATGAGAATTATATAATATCGTAACATGACTTTGATATTTGATGAATTATTGCTATTTACATATACATTTGACATATAATTTAGGGTTACATAAATAAATGGGTGTGGTCGTTTTGGATATAGATTCTGAATGTTAAGAAGAATCTTTATGTTATTCTTATTCTGTACAGATTATTTGGTTTTATGTTGACTGGAAATCTGAAACAACACAAGTACAAAACGGATCAAGAATACGTTTTTCAAAACAATGCGCACCCCTAGATTCGAACCCCCGACCTTCGCGACGAAACGCCACTTCGATAGCGCTGTGCTAAACACGCTGTCCAAAATTCGCCGTCAATTTTACTAGTCCTAAAACGCAACCGAAGAGGTCCCATCCTAGGGTTTCGTCAAATTCCTTTGCTTCGTTTCTCTTCCACCAACTCAGATTACTCTACTTTCTCCCGTCCCTCACGTCACTCACGCTACTCACGCCCCAGACTATAGCTCATATTAAGGTAAGCTTTATTCTCTCTATTCTTAAGCTCATTCTAGTTGAGAGTGGGTCCTAGTTTAACTCATCATGGTTGAGAGTTTCGTTTTTTTTTAAACTAGATCTAGACGTACATGTTAACCAGAAGATGATGTATCATCCTACCTTAGTGTTGTATCATCCTCTCTTTCATTCCGTTTTGTCTACGTGGATATTGTCACATTTGCATTATATATCATTTGCATTATAATGATACATGGTCGCTCTCTCTCTCTCTCTCTCTCTCATCTCTCGCTCTCTCTCTCTCTTCCTCCTCTCTCTCTCTCTCTCTCTCTCTCTCTCTCTCTCCTCTCTCTCTCTCTCTCGCTCTCTCTCTCTCCGTCTCTCTCTCTCTCTCTCTC